TGTTATTTTCGATTCTAGTTAGTGTTTTAAAGTGACCTTTGCCTGAAAGCTTCACCAGCCAGGAGTGGAGCTGTAATGAGCAAAGCTATCTACAGCTGGAGTTCTCCAAATGCCAGCTGTTCCCAGAGCAGAATCAAGGCCAAGGCCGAGTTCATGTTTCTTAATCAAAGATTGATTTTTTTTTAAACCAATGGCATCCTCCATTACAATACAAAACTGAACCAAACCATCTTTCGATTTAGCTCCTTCAATCACAGAAGTATGATAGAGAGATGGTTTTCTTAATCCATGAAGAGTGTTTCTCTTTGTGAACCCTAAATATTTAAAAATGTATCAGCTGATGTTAGAATGTCACTTTCTGGTATTTTGGCCCCTTCGGTATGAATTTTTTTTTACTTTGGAGCCATTTCACAGTTCTTGGAATTTGCTGGGGAGAGATTCCCAAACAGAACGTCCTGGGAGGGGGTGTGGGCAGACACAGGCAAGAATGCACAGTTCCTCTGACCTTACAGTGCATTGTTTCCAGGGAGCTCTGATATTGTCCCTCCTACCTGAGGAAATTCTATTTCTGGACAAGTAACTGCCAATAAAATTTTGCAATAATCCAAAAATGATAAGGTTAAAATGATAAAAAAAAAGATTCTATTACACTTAGTTTACATAGCATGTGAAGAAACGTTAAAAAATGGCTCCAAATATCAATTGTTCGCCATTCTTCTTTGCTGACCACAGGGATGAAGGCTGCAGTTTCCAAGGTAGCAAAGGATTGTTTTGGAAGGGGCAGAGAGTATAGCGGGTAGGGTGCTTGTCTTGCATGCAGCCGACCCGGATTTGATCCCCAGCATCCTATATGGTTCCCTGAGTATCACCAGGAATAATTCATCAGTAGAGAGCCAGAAGGAACAACCCCTGAGCAATTCTGGGCTTGGATGCTCCAAAACTGCCCCCACCACCTCAAGGAAAAAAATGTGTTGGCAACATATAGACAACATGTTCCTAGTATTACCAAAGGATTGTATAGGTAAATGAATTTGTGGTTAAGGTCACAGTAACATGTCCCAAAGGCCCTTTACAAGGTAAAGGTAGAGAAAAGGCAAGGTGGATAATAAGCAGCAAAGGATCAGGGGAAAGAATTACTCTCCCCAATGACCCCATTCCCGTTCTCTGTATCACCTCTGACACTCTAGTCACTCCACCCAATATCCCTACCTGCACAGCACTGGCCTCCCTCACAAATGTCCAATTCACCTCATCACCTACCCCTAATTCTTCCCCAGCCCACCTCCACCCCAGATATCCTCACTGTTTATATCACTGTCTGAATGTCCACACGACATGGAATCATTGCTCTCTTGCACACTCTAGGTCGATTTGGACCATTTTCTCACTCTGACTCTGGTTGGCCAAAGGAGCATGAGTTATTAGTCTGATGTGTGCTACCTGTAGCTCCCCCTTAGAGAATATCAATCACACTGATTGGAGCCTTTCAATCTGTGGCCATGAGTTTCAAGTGGCCCCTTAAAGCCAGCAGGTAATCCCACTACTCCTATAGCTTCCTAGAAACTCCTCACTTCTGCCCTTTATTGCCCAACTTGCAACTCCTCCTCCACACTGGCAATTTGCTGGTAACTGTGTTTTCAATCTGACAAAGAAAATAGAAGCAATGAAGTGCTTCCTCCTCTCAAAACCATCATCTTGACACCCACATATCTTCCATTTAATCAATCCCCACAAGTAATTACCTGCACTCCTTCTAAAGAAAATCACTCTGCTTGTACACAAACACTCTTTCTCACCTATCCAATAAATGATTTAAGCAAGTATCTGCCCTGCATTATTAAGATTTCACTCTCCACTGAATCACTTCTATCAGCATAGAAATATGAATGCTCAAAAATGAAAACTAATTTAGTGGATAACAGTTGCCCTCCCCACCCCAGCTAGCACTCCATAGTTTCATCCCCTTTGTAGCAAACCTTCTCAAACAGAGTCAATGATCCCTGTCTGATTTCCCCCCTCTATTCCTGTCTCCAAACTCACTGAAACCAAGCTTTTGTTGCCAATGCCAGACTATTTTGGCAACAAAAGTCACTTCCTGTTTTAACCAATGCCTCTGCTGACCTGAATGTCACTGATTGAGAAGTCCATTCTTAGTTCTTGTCTTAGCTGGTCCATTACTACAATGGACGCATTCCTCACTCTCCTGAAATAATTTCATGTGGCTTCCAAAACTTCCAGTTTGGCCTTTCAACACTCTCTGCTACATTGTTCTGTTTCTCTCTGCTCATTCCTCCCCTTCTCTTGCTCCATATCAAGCCCAATTGCCAAAACTCTTCAATGAACAGGGCTTGACTCTGTCCTGTCTATCCCTTTCAATACCAAACTTAGGCAATTATTTCCGGTAGCATCAACAGTGCAGATCACCATCCTAAACTAGCATATATCACTGCTACTCAGCATCTTCATTTGGGTGTCTTACGATCTCAAACTCAACTTGTTCAAAACTAACCATCTTAATCTTCTTATCACATTCTGTACCAGTACCTCCTTCAACTGCAGCCTTCCCCATTTTCATTGGTGACAATTCCATCTAGGAAGGCCACATCCCTGGCCTCACTTTAAACATTCCCTTCATCTTACACCCACCCTGTATCCTGCTCCATGAACTATTCTGTCAGGATCTATTTTTCAATTAAGTTATAATGTTTTATAATAATATTAATATTTTAGGCATACCATGTCACTGCACGCTTATAGTGCCAATATCACTCTATCTGTATCTGTAGATCCCTTCTTATTTTTGGAGGATATAGTCACCTAGCAGTACTGAGGGATACTCTCAGCTCTGTGCCTGGGGGATGCTCCCTATGGTACTCAGCTTCAGTTCTGTAAGCAAATTTTAGGGTTTGTTTTCTTTGGCCATTATCTACCATCTTTGTTTCTTTCAGCGCCACATGTAAGTGCACTATCCAGTATTTGTTTAGCATATCTACCAGATTCCATCCAAGTTGCAGAAGACTATAAGATTTCCTCTTTCGTTACAGTTGAGTAAGATTCATAGATAGATAGATAGATAGATAGATAAATAGAATTTTCTTTCTACACACTTTTTGAGGTGATATCTGATCATTGTTATGATTTGCATTTACCAATTAATCAATGATGTTAAACAGCTTTTTATATGACTTTATTTGATTAGCTATATTTCTGCTTTGGGAAAATGTCTGCTTACCTCTCCATTTTTGTTGTTTGGTTTCCTATTGTTGAGCTCTCTGAGTATTTTGAATATCTCAGATATTTGGCCCATTGTTAGATGTATGGTGCGTGGATCACATTTTTTCATTTTGTAGGGTGTCTTTTTATTTTATCCCTTGTTCCTTTTGTAGTTCAAAACCTTTCTTTATTTGTTTGATGCATTCCTATTTGTTTGTTTTCGCTTTTTTTCTTTGCCAGTGGCTTCTGATCCTTAGAGATGCTGCTGAAGTGAATGTCAGCGGATTCTGTCTGTGTTTTCCTGAATGCATTTAGCTCCTTTGTTAAGCTGATTCCCTCGTACAAGATACTTTAAACAGATCATAAATTTTCTCAGCCACCTCGTTATTTTATATAAAATTGCAATATATTTCTATGTATTGATTTTGTAGCCTGTTTTTACTGTGCAGTTTTAATGCATGCTACTTTATAGCTTTCTGTCAGGATATCTTCAAAATATATGCAGAGTGTGACCACTTTTCTCTGCTTCCACTGGTATCAGCACAGCAATTACCATCATCTCTTGCCTGAATTACGAATAATAGATTTTTTTTTCTAATGGCCTCTCACCAATCTCCTAGATCCTTTCCTCATCTACCTAGATCCTTTCCACATCTACCACCCCTTTACTATCTATTCTCAACATAAAGACCAGAATGAGCTCCTTATAATAGAATGCAGATACTATCTCTCCTCTTTAAAATATCACACTGATCTCCCATTATAAAAGCCAGAATCTTCCAGTAGCCTGCAGTGCTAGGTTGTTGCACCTGACTGCCTTCCCTTCACCTATCAATGTTCTTTACTGGCTCTATCCAGCCATCCAACTTCCTTGGTTTTCTTCCAACATGCCTGCATGCATGGGCTAGCCGTAGAGCTTTTGCACCCATATTTTATTCTAACTATATTGCTCTTGCCCCAAAATTAAAGTGTGAGTCTCACAACTCAAGTTCATTGTAATTGTTACTTCTTCAATGGGAGATTCCGCAACCATTCCCATTAACAGTGCCAGTTGCCCCATCTTTCATTTTTTTTTTTTTTGGCTTTTTTTTGGGGTCACACCTGGCGATGCACAGGGGTTACACCTAGCTCTACACTCAGGAATTACTCCTGGCAGTGCTCGGAGGACCATATGGGATGCTGGGAATCGAACTCAGCCCTACCCACTGTACTATCACTCCAGCCCCTGCCTCACCTTTCTAAAGGGCATCTTTCCCCGCTCCACGACACATATGCCTTGTATTGAAATATGTATTTCCTCATCATGTAGATTGCAACACAGTCTTTCTCTGCCTATCTATGTCCCAATGTCACTCATACAACATGAAACTAGGATACTAAAAGAATAGGGGCTTATGTCTCTTGTGTTCACTGTGACTCTTGGCTTAGAACACTGCCGGACACAAACAGGCAGTTATCTATTAACACCACTTATTAAAAATCTTAACATGCCATCTTGATCTTCATGTCTGTCTCCTATTCTTGCAATATAAGCCTACTAAAAGCAAAAAATGAGGATCCATGTAAAAAGCTATTAGAGTGGTTTAACACAATTTAATAAGGAGCAGCCTTAAAAGCCAATATGGGCTACATTCTAGTTTTATGATAAGGCTTTAGATATATTGGAAAAATTCTTTGTATGAGTCTCCAGTTCTTCCTAACAATACTCTGCAAGTCCACTAGGAAGACACACTTGAAGGTTTTCAAACTTACTCTCAAATTCAAATTTCCTTCAAACTCAAAGTTACCTGTGAGAAATTCTGATGAAAGGAAAAAGATTGTCTTCTGGTCAATTCTGAGTGTCCAGGTGAGAGCTCATGCACTCAGCTGGCTCCTGTCCTCATTGCAGGCTGTCCATGTGTGGAGAAGTAGGGGACACACTCTGGCACCTTGGTCCTTGGGACCTGAAGGATAGTCAGGCTGGATAGTATCTGATCCAGCAGGGTTCTCAATGCCTGCAAAGAAGAGAAAGATACATGAACATGGAGGGTGGGGTGGACAGGAGAGGGTGGCAAGTTCACCATGATGACAAAGAACTCCTCCCAGCCCTGACCTCTCAACTCCGAAGTCTAAAAGATTACTATGCAACAACTAGATATCTTAGCAAATAAAACATATAAAAATGAATCACAGTTCATGGGAGAAGAAACTCAGGTATACTTCATAAACACTCAAAATTCTGCCAAGAAACTAACAAATAAACCCACCAATATTGACAATTCAGTCAACAAAATGTTCCTAAGACTCCTTTTCTGCCGTGTCCTTTTCCAATCCTAGTCGTACTGCATTGCCCCCGTGTCACTCCAGGGAGAGGTGAGGCAAGATAATGTGAACAATAATCAGCAGCACCAGTATTAAGAAAACAATCCCAAGTGGACAGGCATACTACTTGTACTTTTATTTGCTGTATTTCACACACACTACATGTTACAGAATTTGATGGTTTGTGTTAACTCTACCTCGAACAAAAATTTTGGTACTATTTTTCAACATCATTTGCTAATTAGTTCTGGTTAATTCTCATAATACTTCAAACTTCTCTATGGTTATACAGTTAATAATCTATGATCAGTCACCATTCATGCTTTTCTTGCAGTATTTGGGAATGACAGACCAAATCTACATAAAGATAGCAAATTGCCTAGATAAATGTTGTGTGTACTCTGTTCTGATTGCTCTAATGATCATCCATTTCTCCATTTGTCTTCCTCTCTTATGGACTGATATGCAACAATACTGAAATCAGGTTAAGGCATAACGCTGCAATGATCTCTGAGTATTCAAGGGGAAGAGTCACATGACTATTATTTTTAGATTCTAGTTTTTAAAATTACACAGTTTTTATTGGAGGTTTTGAAAGGAAGGAGGGAGAGATAGTGGGAGAGAGCGGAGAGTAATGTGCTCAAGAGAGAACCCAGGCTTCTCCAAAGGCAAAGAGAGCCCCTACACACATCCCAACATTTGACATGAAAGCATGAAAGTATACATCTCAAGAGGTGAGATGCAGGTGACACATGTGCTTGGGTGACATGTGCTTGGCCACATGGGTACAAGGAACACATGGGCTCGGGCAGCATATGCATCCATAGCTCTCACTTTAAACCAAATTCCTTTCAAAATATTACTTCTCTCTGAAAATATAAAGGTGACTCAGGAAGGAGCTCTGATGAATATGTACAGGGAGATTCCATGTTGTGTTCATGCCTACTAATTCACAGCCTGTGAATCAAAGAATTTTTTTTTCACTTTAAAGTTTTATTATTTAAGATGTACAGTGTGGGATACCTAAAAATAACTTAGGGCATGTGAGAAACATGTGAAATCCCAATGGCACTGCCCTTTGTGATCCTGGAGCCACAACAAACTATGATCACCTGATCACCTGCACACAGGAACCAAATGTGTGAGTACAATCAAATATGTGAAATCTCCAGTCACTTCAATAAAAACTACGGGAAGGGAAGGGTGAAAAAAAATACATTTCACAAAGCTATAGCTACTGCTGATAGAGATTCCTTTATTGGCTCTAGACAAAGTAAATTGAAAACCTTCAAGAAACAATTCATCAATCTGGGGTGCTATTCTGTGATTCCAGTGGGAGAGAACCTGGGGACACTGTTGGAGGAAGGAAAGTCAATGTTGTTGGTAGAATCGGTTCACTGTACTCCCAAAACTCAATTCTGAACTAGCTATGTAAATCATGTTGCCTTAATATTGAAAAAATAATGTAAGATAAGTATATTTTTATTTAAAAAATAATGTAAGATATTTTTAAAAGACTACCCATAATCTCAGGGAGAAAACCAATAATATATCAAAATCATCAGGAGTTCGGAAAAAGTTGATTCCAACCAAATAAACGACTTTTAGAGGTTCAATACTTCAGTGGGTGAAGGAACTATTCATGCAGTGGAAACAGCAAAAGAACTCTAATTAGAAGTGAAGCCTGGGGATTTTAGTGAATTGCTACAATCTTATGCTAAAAATGTAAAGAATGAAGAGATGCTTCCTATGGATGGGGGAGAAAATTGATTCTTCACATAAAATCTACTCCTAATGAAGATACTCTGAACATTGTTGGAATGGCAACAAAAGATATAGACTATTATAGAAATATGACTGCTAACACAATAATAGGTTTTGAGATAGCATATTCAAAATTTGAGAGTGAGTTCTACTGAGAGATGTTTATCAAACAGCAGCACATGCTCCAAAAACCCTTTTGTGAAATAAAATGCTAACAGATGAAGCGATCTTCATAACAGTCTTATTTTAAGAAGCTGCTACCTTCACCCCAACCTTAGCAACCACTACCCTGACCCAGGAGCAGTCACCAACATTAATGCAAGCAATCTCCACAAGGGAAAAATGATTATAACCTACTTAAGTCTGATAGTGAGAATATAGTGAGAATAACTCTGCAATCTGTTTTTGACTAGATTATAATGTCATTATACAGGTAAAGATGATAGTACTGTGTAACGATAACTTCTACATGCAACAGAAAAACAAAATCATTGTATGATTAATTTTACTGTAACATTTTTTTGATGGCAGTGGTCTGGAGCTATACCTGAGATATCCCCTAGGTGGGTTTGTATAATAAATGGCAATGAAATAAGCATTTTATGCTAGAAATTATTTAATATAAAAGAAAGCAAAATACGGGACTTTAGGAAAACCAATAATATCAGATTCAGGAAAAATAGCAGGTATAAATAATACCTTATCACTTTATTAAGTTAATGAACATTTCAATTGGAAGGCAGAAATTGGCAAAATGGATAGAAACTACATATTGTTAGAAAATACCCACTTTAAAATTGCATCCAAAATAATAAAATCTTTAGGACTAAAATATAATGAAAGATGTGTAAGGTTTGTGTGTTGACATATGCCACAACATCCAAACAAGGAAATAAAGACCCAAGAAAAAGAGTTCTTGGGTTCATGGACGAGGCTACTTAATATTATTAAAACAGTAATACTCCCAAATTGATAAACTTAATAAGCCTCTATTAAAATCCCAACTTCTATTTTAGATATCAACAAACTTATCCTAAACTTCATAGTTAAACACAAGCCACTGAGTAGTCAAAAGAGACTTGCAAGAAAAGCAAATTTGGCAATCATATTTCCTGATGGCACAAGAGGTATAGTAATCAATTACTGCTGGCATAAAGATAGACATATAGATCAAAGTATTAGAGTGCTCTGTTCAGTTAATGGATTCTTGACAGTGATGCTACCACAATTCAATGAGCAAATGAGTTTTCTCAACAAATAGCACTTACATTCAAGAAATAAATATCAACACAGACCTTGCACTTTATACACACACACACACACACACACACACACACACACATACCATAAAGCACAAAAATGGATACCTGAGTTAAATGTAAGTACTAAAATGATAAAACTCTCGAAAATGAACAAGAGGAAATCCTTTTAACTATAATAATAATAAACTGATGCCAGTTTCTCAGCTATATCACCAAAGACACAAAGACACAAAGAAAAGTATATACACTTGAATTGAGGTTCTGTCAACATTTTAAAAAATTATCTCTCAAATATCTCCAGCAATTAATTGAAAAAAAATACACTGGAGAAGAAATATTTTCTAATCATTTAACCTAAAAGATCTTTATACCTAGCTAAATACTTAAATTTCAATACTTGAAAGACTAAAGACCATAATGACCAAAATTTAAAACTGGGCAAGGAATTTGAAGCACAGTTCTCCAAAATACATGCACAAGAAACTGTTCACAATTATTAAATTAAGAAATGCAGATGGAACCACAAGATAACACTTCACACCCACTAGAATGGCATAATCATAAGATAGACAATAGCAAGTGTGGGTGAGGATACAGACTTTCAATTTGAAAACACATGGCTCTGTGATTATAAAAGAGAATGCAGCACTTTGGAATGTAATTTAGCAGTTTATCAACACACTAAATGAAGAGTTTCCATATGACACCAAGGAAATGTCTTAGGTGTCCACACAAAATACTGCACCTCAATGTTCGCAATGACATTGTTCAAATTGGAATAATTCAAATGGCTTCCAATTCATGAGTGTATAAACAAAATGCGGCATATCCATCCAATGGATTTGACATTAAAAGAAACTGAAGCATTGTTCCATGCTATTATGTGTAGAAACTTTAAACTCATGCTATGCTAGGCCTGAAAACACAGGACATGATGCATGTATATTTAATATGCAGGAAAGACAAATCCACACAGAACATAAAGTAGTATTTTCCAGGTTCGAATAAGGACTGCCAGACAGAGCTTTTTTGGAATTGAAATGATGGTGGTAACTGCACTTCTTGGTGAGCCTAAGAAAAGCCACTGAACTATCTATTAGTGAATCTTATAATGTGGGAACTGTATCTCAATGAATCTGTGACTTAAAAAGGAAAATCATAGCAACTGAAAAGGAAGAGTCAAGATACAATAACATCAGAATTTCCCCAATTCCCTTTATCCTAGAGCACAGCCTCTGCTCCTTGGGAGTACAACACTAGCATCTGAACTCAGCTTCTTTTTAGGTGCCTTTGGTTGGAGATTAAAGTGGAATAATTACTTCCTTTGGTCTTGTCAAAGAGAGCAGAAACTGCTTAGACCTAAATAGACCTGAGAGATTCTAGTAGAAAAACCCCACGTGCTCATTTGGAAGCTTTGTCCACATGCAGCTGGATAAAATTCCCCCTCATGCAGTGCTCCAGAATCAGCAGCTGAGCTCCATTTTAAGGCAGAGAACCCTGATCCTTCTCCAACGCAGAGAGCAAGTCTCTATGACTGTAGAAAGCTGTTTCTTTTGGACACTGACCGAATTGAGATGCAGATTCAAGAAAATATAATTCTTTTTTTAAAATTTTCTTTATTTATTTATTTTGCACATCTCTTCTCTGCCATTTCTTGGCAATGCATC